AGAGTACATTGACAACATCCTTTGTCTTTTCTAATATATGGAGGACACGCAAAACGCTCATGTTAGAATTTCTTGTTCTGTCGCCCCATTTATTATGCGTTTTGCACCTTCAGAGTGCAAAATGATGCCACAAGGAAGTAACCGCCCCCGCATCTCCAATGCTCGAGCGGCGTGCCTACGACTGGACACCTTCAGTGCCGACGTCGTGTTTCGTTGAAACTGAAAGATTGCTCCAATGTGAGATATCCTGAGTTTGCGAGTGAAAGATATTCATCGTTTAGAAGTATTCGACTATCGATCTTTACATTGTTTGGCGCGGGTAAGATAGAGCAAGTGTGTGAGCAGCGCTGAGGTAAGCTGTCGCGTATTTGGTAATGATTTGGTAGAAAATTTGTTTTAACATAGAATTTAGATCAGTAGGCTTTGGTCCTTAGGACACGTATTGTGCAAGTCCAGCTGTCGTCTACCGCACCGCGCCCTGTTCGCAGCTGCGGCTCCAGACTGGAGGAAACCACGTGGAGGTCAACAAATGATGTAGAGAGGAGGCATGAAGAAATACACTGAGCCATTAGACGGAGTAAGTAACTCTCGTCTTCCAAGATTGAGTCCGAAAGGCTCCACAACTGGTTGGTTGGAAACACCGAAATATACGATAACTAAACAACAACAGTGTCGTTCTTGTTATCATTTCTCATCAGATCAGAAAGATTGAATAGGTATGTATGCACATTTGAGTGATGCACTCTGTGTGGTTTACTTTCTTACTTACTTTTTTACTTACTTACTTTACTTTACTTACTTTTTTGAGGTTTACCTTCTTTTCCGCCCTCGAACTAGGCCTAAACTCTATCCATCTTGTACTTCATCACTTGCATTGTATATAATGCTAGCTTGGCAATGAGCACCAAAGTTTCTCTGTATTTCGCTATACGCTGACCAAGTGTTTAGGTCACCAACTCTTGATCTGTGAGTCCCGGGTTCGAACCGCTCCACCGCCGCCCTTCTTCCCAGGCAGCCTTTTTATGGCCGCTGCCCCCTTCCTGAATGCTGACTGTACATTTATTTCAGTTTTTACAACCATTAGCCATGCACTTTCGTGCGCCGGTTTTGGTTGGTGTCTTTTGGTACCCCATTTGGATAAAGGAGCAGAATGAGGATTGGAATGTTGAAAGCAAATCCAATCAGAAGATGGAGAATTCACATAGAGTGGTGTTGGGATAATAATGAGTAGATGCATGAGCGAAACTGTTTGTGACACCCAGCCATATCACTCAGTGTCTCTAACCATCGGTGACCATCATCTCGGGGTCCCCAGCCAGGGAACCTATGTGACCTAGTCTCCTGGTTAGAGTTTTCATTCCCTCATGCCAGGTGTTCGTTTGATCACCCTTGACCTTTTCCAAACGATACCTGCCTCGGAAAACATCGCTCGCCGTGGCGACCTATTTGGTGACACGCCTAACACATTCCCCAACCAACCTAATCTATGTAGGTCGATCACTTGTTCCAGTGGACGACTGCAACTGCCTAAAACTCTGCGGCTGACCTCAGCATTGCTCATCTGGTTACCCCACCAGACACGTGCAATGCGACGTAGACAGCGCTGTTTGAACACCTATAATCTAGTTTTATCCTGTTCCCATAGTGACCAAGTCTCTGCACCGTAGAGCAGAACTGCTGCAGCATACACCCGACCCTTCACAGACAGCCGGATGTTGCGACGGCGCCACAAATGTCTCAAATGGCAAATGCTCACCAAGCCTTTTGTATACGCGCCGACACTTCATCTGTGATGCACAAATAACAAAGCTTGTCCACTTCTACTAATTCCCCAGTCAAGGTGAGGTTGGGGACTGGACCAACCCAATCTTGTAGCACCATTTTACACTTTGAACGTGCAAAACGCATGCCGAACATGGCTACACCAGCACTCAAATTATCCAGAAAAGCTTGCAAATTACCTGGATCTTCATTTAGTTGCAGTGTTATCTGCATACTCTAGATCAGACAGTCTGCCACCTTGGAGTAGATCGATGCCACTATCCTCGCATCGACGTTTGGATCGCTTTCTTGATTGCCGTCCAGTGTACACTGAGTCCTCCGACTGATGGTTGAGTTGAGAGGCAATCTGATAGTTCCGCTTCGAAGGCCGATTTGCAACCGTCGATGCTACTGTTTTGTGGGCATCTGTTTTCAATGGTTTTTCTGTGGTTGTTTATCAGGCGTAGGTAGAATCTGGCTCGCAGCAGAGCATAGTCCGTGTCCACGGGTGTTGACCAGTAGGAGAGGCAGTCCTCAATGGATCCAGGCAAGCGGTGGCTGATGGCGATGTGGTCGATTTGAGTCCAGCACTGTGAAGCGGTTCGCTGTATATTTGTCTGTTCAATAAATAACAAAGGAAGTAAAAGGACATTTATTTATTTTAAGTCAACATCTTGCGTTTACTTATCCAAAAGACTCCAGAGTTTGCAGAAAATTTAACGATCTTCATACAAAAACCTATAAAACTTCGCATTTTTGTTTTACAACAATAACGATTTCCTTTACCATGTTGCGAACCGCCAGATGCGAATGCACCCATACATTGAACATTTTCATCGTGACTTTTAGCTACTCATTAGTAGCCATCAAGCGATTGAAAAGTTGAAAGTATTACCACCACATTCCCCGCACTGATGAACGTAGTCTTCATTGACCATTCTCTGGTTTGGGGAAAATCAATTTTGTCTCCGATGATGGTGAAGTTATATGAAGACGGTATTACTGTATAAATTGTAGCACTGAAAGACATTTAAAAGCAGGATGGAAGGTATTCTTTTTCATTGATTCATAATTAGGTCAATTACATCCGATTGTCATTGGTCAAAACGAATTTTTCTTGGAAGAAGAATAATATAATAATAATAATAATATTAATAATAATATCTGCGATTAAATTCCTTTTTAAGTCAGGATGTGAAAGCCCTCATGATCACTGAGTATTTACTTAAGATTATTCGGAATGTTTGGCTTGTGACACGGTCCAATTTAGCTGATATACAAGTACATAGTGTTCATGAGCATGAGGACGCTAGCTTAAGACAGTCAAATTGCCTTGAGGGACTATCCCGAACCCTGCGCAAAAGGCAGCATGAGTTAGCCGTGTTTAACGAGAATTTTTCAATTAGGTACGAAAGCAACGCACTATCGATTACCTTTACGGTGCCGAAATTTGACCACACACATGGTGTTAATGAATACACTGGGAAAAGTGCCTAATCTCATGATCTCTGTGCGTTCGTTTACTCAGACTCCAGTAAACAAATGCACACAGGAAGGGATGGTATACTCTAGCATTTTTTCGTTTATTCGTAAACGAATAATTGAACTGGATGTGAATAAGAACTGGAGCTTTATTGTGTAAAAGGTCTTCGGCTAAAGTGTGACCACAGAACAGCAAAGGAAACAATACTGCTTTTTTTGTAAAGTCCACTTCGTCTACAATGTTCTGATGGTATCCCATCATCCCAATGACTGACTGTTCTGGATGATTATTGCATTCCGGGTTTACTCATATTAATCCGATTCCCACTCCGATTGAGTCCTCAGTGCACAATTTTCTTGCTGTATCAATTAGGAGGACGGTTCTGCGGCAATTTAATACAAGCTTATAAAAAGCCTGTCAATTATTTTGAAAAAATTGGCCTCAGTTGACTATTACGCTAAACATTTAATGAATATAAACCTTAGCGAACCGTGCGAGAGTGGTTGGGGCAAAACTGAACCAATTGTATTGGTTTGATTTGTCGACGGTTTTTAATATTTATAAATGAACTGTGTGGTATACTATATGAACGACATTTTGCCCGATACAATTGTGATCAACGTCGTACAGGTTAACCAAAATAATCTGACACAGATCCACACATGTCCAAGCAAAATCTATTTTACATTGATCAGCCCCTTGCAACGTCAAACTAGAAAGTTCAATAAATAGTTGGTTCTTTGAATGCCAACTTGCAATGGTTCATACAGGAGCTATGCCCACCCCATTGACAACTAAAAGCAGGCTTTTCGGTTGAGAAAGGAAGTCACCTTGCCAGAGAGAATTGATGTTGGGAGTAGGACTGCGTTGACTGATAAAATTATTTTTTGCCAAACTCAAAAATATCGGTTCTGATTGATTGTAAAAAGTACGATTTCTGCGTAATCATGAATGTCGTCATAAACATAATTTCATAGGAGGAATTTGTCGTGCATAGAGTAAATGAAGGGTGAACTGAATAGGTAGAAAGCACTGGTCAGCCGGTTCGACCTGGTTGGGTCTCAGCAGTGCGAATCCACCAACCCAACTGGGGATCGAACCCAGAACCTCACAGGCAGAACGCAAGCATGCTACCCACTCGGCCACCGGTCTCAAAGAGAGGATTATATATATAGGAATACGATGGTTGTTCTATGGGATAGAAAGTTGATTGATTGATTTTCTTAAAACCAACAAACATCAATTGTTCTTGGCTCACAAAACTAGCGGACTCGGTTATTGACCACTCGGCAACAAATAAGAAAAAGTAGCCTGCAATCAGGAGTTGCTGACGAAATAAGAGGCTTTCAATTGTTGGTGTTCCTATTTTGCACTTTCAATTTTGGGAGTGCTTCTTCCTTCAACTGTCACTGCCATTTACGGGCAGGATTTGCACAACTCTCATGTCACTGCCGATCGGTACCTTAAATTCCAACTAACCGAACAAACAGGATAACCGTAGTGAATTTTTGCGCTCGAATTTTCAATATCTCTCGGGTTATGGTTTATCATGGAAATATTTCTTGCTACTCGGTCGCAAGTCGACAAGGAACGTGGTCATATGTGGTAAAGTTGTCGTCTTATAATTCTTCCGCGCGTATTCTGTGATTACAATGATCACCACATTTTGAATATGGGCCCGGTACATACTTAATAAAACGGTTCATTTAATACGATAATGTGTCCTCTTCTCTGATATCGTTCTCTCTCTTCATAGACGGAAATGAAAAAGCTACAAGCCGCTCGCCTTGATTACGATATGGCTCGGAATAAAAGCAAAAAGGAAACGCAAGCAGATCCAGAGGTAAGCAATTCACGTGGTGTTTAAAACTTGATTATTTGAGGTGATACGACAGTATTCAAAGAGAAAAGGTTTTACAAAGCATATCAAGAACTGCAAAAGCCCTCTCAGTAAGTGACGCGTTACGGAAAATGCTTACGATCTGCGCACATAGGATTGATGATCAGGGCTGTCGGGTATATTTCATATGCTAGTGACCTAAAGGAAAATGGGGAATGGTAAACGTCTATCTGAAAACACCATTTTCCCGTCACAAATTTGAACAGAGAATTCAGAACCATGGGATAGAAATTGTGTGCCAATCCCTGCTGTATACATCGCAATCGGGGTTACCACATTTTGAACATTCTGTGACGGAATTGAAGACAGGCATCACCCCTTTTAGAAAAATGATAGACAACACGAAAATATTGTTTAAAGGAGAGAAAACGGAGTTTCAAATATATTATTCGAATATCCTGATGAGAACTGTTAAGTTATAGGATATGAGTGGTGGCGGCTGATTGGAGGATGTAATTAGGCACGTATGTCAGTTGTGGACCAAGATAGCGTGTGTAGATAGTAATTTGGAAACCGCAGTTGGATAGTGTTCAAAGAAGCGTAAATTCTAGTTTAGATCATGAAGAGGTACACCGCGAGTGTTTGTAACTGAGGTACTGAAACGAGCTTGAATTTAACTGTTCATCATGAGGTTGATCGGCAACTCATCCAAGGAACCTTATGTGGTTCACCACTCCAATAAGTACCAGGTCCTAGGTTGCCGATCTTCTCTAGCAAACACTGCAGTTACTCGTGATTTTCCGCGACTGAAACCATAGGGATTTATAATTGTGTAATCCGAAATGTGCAAACAACGTAATTTAGCGCAACCAGAGATTGCACCATGATCATAGATAGCTGGTAGATCTTATTTATCTGGTACAGTTGTTGGGAGGTACTACTCATATTTGTGAGTATCAGGTGACTCTGGAGCAGCAATTACCCCCGAGATGGCGAAGTTCACATATAATACGGATAAAGAAGATTCTAGTGACCATGTTTCAGGAGATAAGTGACAAGTGTATCAAAGCAAACCCGATAGATGACACGAGGACGAAAGCCGTATATCACAACGTCGTCACAACTCAAACTCCTGGTCAGATCTTCAAAAATCGTGCAACAAACCAACCAAAGTTCTTGACCGGAAACAGATTCGTCTTAATTTTCGGAAACGAGACATCATTGCTTAATGCATGCAGAGTTCATTTTCGCCGGGGAGAGGAGTGTTGCAAGGTACCACTCACATTTGTGAGTAATATGCAACATAGTTGGTGATTCCTTTCGACGATCAAAAATTAAGAAGACCACCGAGGGTAAATTGCTGTATCTCAAGGAATAACTACCGATTGCTAAATTCATTACTTGACGTGCTGCCAAGAACTGCGATGGTATGTTTCAGATGAGATTTGTGTGATGTAGGCCAAATTAGAGATATCCTAACTGTAATCTACGATAGTCGACTATCCTTGACGGAGCGCCACTTTATGGAATTATAACACAGTGGCACACGATTTTATTCATCCAGATCAAAAGTTATTTTCATGCATTATTAACGTATGCCTTTTGCGAGCCTGTCCACTAAATTATTGCATTCTATAGTCAACATAAATAAATCTCATGCATGCTTTCATCCTTCACGGGACAAGGATGACTACTGATCTCGTCGTATTTCGTAGGATACATCTAAATGCGAAATATCGTGAGGCTATATATTCGCGTTACCATTTTATCATAACTCTGACGTGTTTTGCAATCCATTCAACATAGCTTACCAAAAATGTGGAAAATCTGCGAGCTCAGTTTGAAGCTCAAATGAAGGAAACACGGACAAAACTTGAAAGTATGAAACTGGTGCATGTAAGTTGCTACTGTGTGAAGATATTGAGAAAACATGGATTTTAAAGTTTAACCTGAAAATAGACCCCATACTGTATTGAAAATGCGGTACTTTTNTTTTAAACCGATGTCCTAATCTCGCTGGACATCATCGAACTTTTATTAAACTGTTGCATAATAAAATCCAAGATTTGAGAGACAGAATGTAGGAGCCTATCTATCCAGTAACTTGGCAACCAATCAAGTAGAATCAGTTACATCATTTCTCCATTTCTAGGTGTCGTTCTTACCGTCATGGTTAGTACAATTTCATACCTATTCCTCAGTTTCACACGAGAAAAGAGAATGAGTTTTCTCACGAAAACAAATAGCAGACTCCTGGTATTGTTTATGGCCAATAAGAAAAAGATTTTCTTCATGTTATTGAATACTCACACATACTTTCTTGACATTAAATTGAAACAGAAAACTAGTGCTATGTCGTTTGATTCTTTTTATCTCTACCTCTCAGTCGGAGCTGATGATGGGCGTGTTCACGAGTTTAAAGAGATCAAAAGTTCTAAACATGCTTCCATTAACCAGCAAAAAGTGTCTGGCGTTACTCTGCTGGCTTTAGGTTTGGAGTGTACTCACTACGGCTAATAGCGATCGATTTAGCTCGTAAATTTTCTGTTTTCCAAGCTCTTAAGAACGTCCTCTTACCTAGCGTGGCATTATATGGTTCGCCACTCCAAGTTCCGGAGCTTGGGTTACCTTTTTCCATGACTGAGCAGCAGGTCCTTGTGATTATGTGGCTTTCCTCATCTGCTGTACTTCACACTAACGTCTGTAATAAAAAAATACTCTATCTTAAACACATGGCTTAAACTAAACGGGTCCCCCCAGGCTCCTTTTACCCAAACCCCATCTCTCCGGGAGAGTTCACTTCGGAGATTAAATAATGAAAAGGGCATTTTACGATTCCGAAAATCCTGCGCTAGATGATCAAATGATCCGGAGCACACACGGCTTTCTCTCCATGGTACGAATCCGCACACTTTACTGGACAGTTGCTGTCTGTCTAATTTGGGCATTCATCCTCCCGCAGGATGCTATTGTGGACAAGTTTCAACTGTCTCAGTGGGTGAATAAGGGCGAATCCTGAACAGTAGACTGATAACGAACGCACTAGCGAACGAAATTGAAAACTGAAAGTATAAGGCCTTATATTACAGGTCCGTAGATGCATTCACACGCTCAATTCGGTCACAATCCGAGTTAGGGTTAAGCTCATCTGATTACTGGATCAGATTTTTGAGTAAAAGTCTATAGTCGTGGTTCTCAAAGAATAATCCTTTTCATCGGCATTGGCTAAGGCAATGTGGAATGTGTTCTAAAGCCCTGATCACTCACTTCGATAACCCTCATTCTCGGTTGTCCATTTTTTCTTCTCAAGACACGATATGTTTGTGTATTTGTGTAAGTATGACTGAGTTGGAAATATCATAACCACCTGTTCTGACCCACTTCAAATAGGTTAGTGTTTTTATTTTACCCGATTCTCTGGTTGTCTCTTCCGTTACATATTGTGTACTGTAACCTCTACCCTACATTTGCATACGAAGATTCGGTAAATTGATTGATTCAATAAGCAATGGTTTGTGTTTCCGTGTAACCGGACTGCGTAACAAGTCTTGGGTTCCTTTTTACTGCTGCTGTTTTATGCTTGAACTGATCGATACATACGTTGGTTCGGTAGATTCGCACTGCTGATGAGACCCAACCATGTCGAAACAGCTGCCCAGTGCTTCCTAGTTTTTCAGTTCACGCTTCATTTGCTATATACACAACGAATTCACCTTTAAAATTGAACCAAATCCTCCATTACTCACTTGACATGCGTTACGGCCAGCGTAGGTCAACCTTGTTGATCGAAGTGACCTTAATGACTGATAAAGGTCAACACATGATACTTTAACTTGATTCACGAAGTGCATCTCTCAAACACAGTAAGGGGTGAGCTAAGCCCAAGTCCTTCACCCATTCGCACAGGCGCGTCAGTGCGACAGCGGTTATCGATCGATTGGAGATCTAACATCTTACCCCACCGCTCCGCTCAACGGCTGGGTGAATCGCATTTATCGATCACTTTTGTGGGCATAGTTCAGGTGCGAAAAGGCGAATGCATATCACCTCAGCGGTGGCTAATGTGTGGTTGGGTGTACGCGATAGATTATACTGGAAGCGGATTCTGGTCTAATTAGGTGGTCTGTATCCACAAGATGACCAAGAATGGCGCTTCCTGCTGCTCCCTCTGCCTTCTAGTCTTAACCAGCGTGGGTAGTGTTCTTCCATCCGTTGGGGAAGTTAGTTACCTCGCCGTGCGGCCAAATGTACGTTGCATTACCGGAAAGAGTGGATAACCATAGAAGTGGCCAGCGTAGGCAGCCAATCATAATCAAGCTTATCAGAACACAGACACATGTGACTTACCCCACCTCTCTCCTCTCCTCATCCTGGCGTTAAAATATGTCCCACTAACAATAAACAGGAACGATTATAAATCATTCATTCATTCGAACTTGTGTTCTAATTATACACGATTCGCGACAGTTGTGATTTCCAGCTTGTGTGGTTTTAACCCATACTTAATGAACGTGAATTCGTTCACGTCCAGATCATTAGAAAGTTGTCGATAGTGATAATATTCTTTCAGAAATACCAAGTTGCAACGCATTGAAAACCCACAAGCTCAGTTCACCGGAGCAGTTTAAATCCCATGCCTTTTAATTAAACCTCGCTATCAAACCACGATCTGATTTTACCCATTTTGTGAAGTTTCAGTCATATTTTTATCTTCCCGATTCTTTAACATCCTCATGCGATACTCAAAACATCGACCACTTCAATCTAGCAAAATCACATTGCCGCCCTGAAAGAGTTCGTGGGAGCTGAGTGTCGTTATTTTAATGCCTGTTTGGAACAAGCTCGTGAGACAGTCGCGTTTCTCGATCAACTGCCAGATAACGCGTGATAGTTGGGACATGTGAACAGGCTGTTTCGTTTGGATTGTTCGGCGGCAGCTCACTCTCAATCGGTACTGGGTACGTTTTGCTTCAACTACCTAATCCCGGCCGGAATCTGCATTATACAAAAGGCCCTCGAATTTGTGTGCCCCAAACCCATTTTTCTTCATTATTCCCGGTTTCCGGGCGATCAAATAATCATTCTTCAATTACAAAACGATCAGGTGTTGGAGTATGACAACTGGACGCTTCTTGCCGATCGTGGATGAAGAAACGTTGAAAGGCCCCTTCAAATCCTCAATAAACAGGCAATATTTTCTACTGTTTTAAATGACGATGATATATAGAACAATATGTGAGCTGGTATAGGTTCAAATTCGCTTTAAAAAAATATCTTTTGTTTTTGTTTTATATTTCTTGACCTTAGTAATTACTTTACTTTGAGTGTGCGACAGGATGTCTCCCGTAAACAGATGCATGAGACAAACAAATGTGAACTGATTCTCTCGTGGGCTGGAACTGTCGACCAACGGAGATTCTCGCTGGAGTGGGTTAATTATTGATCTGTAAGAGAGGGAAAGTAAAAACTCCAGTGAGACATTAATAAGACTCACACTTCAACAGTTAGAATGCAGATTGTAGAATGATTGTCTGAGCACTGTCGAAACTACAATGTTATTGAAATGTGAGAGTTTTGGATCGAACGAACTGGAATGGTGATCGGGACTCATGATTTGCTGAAGAAATCTGAACAGCTTGAGGATTTGGGCTATTGCTTCTACCGGGCTTAGTACCGTGCTCAAAGAGACCGCGAACTTACAATTGGCAGCGTGATACTTAGATGTTTGTGAGATATTCCATACACAGATAAATCTATCATTAAACCCCATTAATTGCTGCATGGCAGCTTTTGGATTGACTGCTTTTCCCTTTCTGAAAATTGTATTTTGTACATTCAATAAAAGGAAGCAAAAACGAAAACGACAAAGTGCAGTTTTAAGTGAGATTAGTGGAGGTCAAAACAGCTGCCCAGTGCTTCCTAGATTTTCAGCTCACGCTTTATTTGTATGAAGAACTCATCAAACGAATCAGTTATATTTTATTAATTACAATAGATTAATTAATTTCAATATACGGATGCGTCGAATCACCTGATCTTTAGCTGACCACTACATGTCGCCATTGCAATCTTCTGTACCCAACTTCTTGCAAAAAACGTAATAGACATGATTCAATGCATTAGCGTGCGAACGTCTCACACCACCACTACTATGCTTAATCACTAGTTCATTACAAAACAATAAATTCTATATAACATGCCTGAGTTATAATATATATATATATATATATATATATATATATTTACCACCGGCTTGAAAACAAGCATGGTGCCAACGCAACAACAATGACAGTGAAGGGGATAGGTGGATTAGGATACAGAACATGGGGAAAAGTGAGTGAGACAGTTAAACATGGAAAATACAAGATAACAGAATTTTTTTTGTGTTTCACCGTACACCTTTTGCAATTTTTTTGTTGTTATAATATAAAAAGGATAATTTTCCAGTCAGGCATAAACGTCCCTCTACTTGTTCCTTCAAAATTGATACTGTTGTGCACGGTTCATCATCGCTTTTCACATTGCTAAACGTTACGCTGTTGTAACGTTGCAAGTGGACGATACGACTGAACTAGCACGAGGTGTGACCAACGATACGTGCGGCAGCAGAGACCCTAGAACTGAACCGTACGACCCAACGGAATAGTAACGATACACTGGTGCGCCCGACTGCGGTACCCCAAGCGAGTCCCAATAGAACCGGAACGAAACGCCACAAGAAAGCAGTGTGATCCCCGAAACCTGACCAGAGAGAACACGGAAGACAGGCCCTCCAGGCGAGGTTGTTTATTTCGCTCGACCGTAAAAGGCGAAGAAAGCTGACAGCTCATTTGTTTATATACAGTTTGGGGACCGGCCACCAATGACCTTGGAAAATAGCTCGAAAGTAAAATAAAGTCAAGGGAAAGTAGACCAATAGGGATCAAGCATAGCCGGTGATGTGGTGAGTCTTTTTGGCGGGAAAATCTGGAAATTCAAATTTTATAAAAACAAATGGAAAAGTAGAAGGGAATAGAGAGAAATAGTCACTTTTATACGCTGCAGAGAACTGAACATGTTGCCTGAAGTTTCGGTAAGTGTCTCACGTGTTTTAAGTTCTCCACGTTTCAGCAACTTTACCCCCCGAGATTATCATCCATCTACAAAAAGCGACTTCGACTTTATCAAGAGAGCATATCTAACCTTTAATGCCCATTATCAGGCGTTCACAATCGAAGGAACTCTCAGTGTAGCTAATTCCTTACCAACAAACTCTTCATATTTGTTTCCCTGGCAGCAAATATGCGATAGACTTCCCTGAGTCTAGCCTATGTTTGAACTAGTAACGTCCACTTCCACGAAGAAATTGGGGAACTATGGTCAATTCCTAGCAGACTTACGTCATAAGTTGTTGAAGAAATTTAAATAAAGCCAAATAAATGGTTCGTGAAACTCTAAGTCTGAACAATCGAACATTGAACAGATTCTGGAATGTGAAATAAATCCCTCATGCACTAAACAAACATATTTTAGAAGGTATTGATACAGGCACACACACAAGCTTGTAACACCATCAAGCGGAAAAATGATGAGGAATTTCTGAAAAATCACAATACAGCTGGTCGCCTAGAGCCATTTCTTATTAGGGGATAAAAACGTTTCACAAACTTTTTCTTTGCGTTGATGCATGCGAATTTCGCAATATCTATATAAACAGTTTTTGCAAAATCGACACCAGAAGTTGTGTGGTGTTCTTGAAGTTTCACCATTCATTCGTGTACGGAAATTGAGAAAATGAGACTAAGGATCGTTAAACCGCGGTGCCAGATTTCGAAATTTCATTCAATAGAGCCAGGAAAACTAGTCGGAGAACAATAAGTTAAGATAAGGAAGACACGCTGGTTTCATAAAAGTTGAAATGAATGATTGGCCTTGTACGAAGTTGAGTTGCCGATTTCGGTTGTTGTTGTTGTTGTTGTGCGTTTACCCTAAAGGATTGTTACCCACGGTAACTCCAAGGTACCGGACAGAGTTCATCCTAGATATAAATATGGTTGGTTTCCCCTGTGCGGTTTGTGCGGAGAGTAGAGTGCGAAAAACTATATATTCAACGACTAGTGATAGGGCTTAAACTTAACACCTAATCGGAGAAGAAAAATTCAATTTGAGGAAGAATAACAATGAGGGAACTGAGGTCAGTGAAAGAATAAGTTTAGTAGTGCAGCACTATCTCGTCAGTATATTCCGAGACACACGCAGGAGAAGCACACAGTGGACGTGTTATGGGAACAGCCCAGCTCCGTGAAGTTATCCGCAGTTTTTATTCTATGGTTTAGTTGAGACCTGATCCATGCTGGTGGTTTATGGTCTATCAGTAAAATATTTGGATAGTCGAACTTGCAACTGCTTACAGTATTCCAACACTTTCAGTTTTTGTTCCCTAAATCACACTTCGTAGCTCAATATTGCCAATAATTTATCAGCGACCAACCTACCAGTTAGTTTATCGGCATATCGAGCTGATATAATATCCACTTGTGTCACTGCTTCTATTAGCCACATGTCATTAAATTGTACAATTTCGCGATTTCAACGATTTTTGCAAATGCATCAGTTGTAAGATAACAAGGTCACAGTAGAAAACCTAACTGTAATTTATTTATTAAAATGACTCATAGGCTTTATACAGGTATTACGCTTTCATCTCGTCCATGTTCCATTTGCTCCTCTTCAATTTTGAGTACTGGAGGCAGTCTCTTTAGGATGGAATCCACCAAGTTAACTGCCAAACAGAATTTGCAAGTTTCATCTACACCGCACACCTTTACCACTAGCGACCAACGGCGAAGTAGCTGACTTATCCGTTTCTGACAGAGGGAAAAGTTTCCGATTAAACTAAAATCCTAGCTGCTACGCGTTAGTAAAACGAATTTGACATTGAAATCGACCCCTCTAGAAACTGTATAAATGTGAAAAAATAATATTTATTCAGGTCTAACCGTTTTCTACCACCAAGCTCAAGCGAGAAGATATACCAACCATCATTTG